TGTGCCTAGTAATTGAAGGATTTCCTTGAAAGGATGGTTTGCAAGCCTAATTAATATAGGTATGTTCAAGTTCTATCGCATAGTGCACTCTTTCTGTTTGTGCCATGCCTGTGTAATTTTATACAGTAACCACGTTAATCCCTGATGCCTGCAGAGGTAGGAACACAGGGTGGATCAATCTGTATTTCAATTCATTCCAAAGGCATTAACATCATTACTCCAGACTGACACCAGCTGAGCCAAAGTGAGAATGAGCCTCCTGCCCTCGGCCTGCTCAAAGAGGATGACCAGAGAACATGCCGCTGGGTTTCTACAGAGCATGATTATGGCTCCGGTTTTGCATCCTGAGAGTTCCAGTGTCATTTTCTGAAGTTACTGGACTGAACCACTCCTTTACTGAGGGAAGAGAGAAAACAATTTCTCTAATGCCATAGGGTAGTTCGTTAAACATAAGCTGTCTTTAAAAGAAGGGAAAAGAGTACTTCGAAGTGAGTTCTGGGAGATTTTATTTCTGCTTCAGCTGACCTTAGGGGAAAAGGCTTCTCTGCTTATTTAGCCCATCTCTCTGTCCAGGAGTTGGCTTCTTAGCCCACCACGGCTTTCTAGCGCCCATGCCTGTCTTATCTCTGGCTAAGCATGAGACTTTATCCTGCTCCTGACATGATTTGCACTAATAAGTCATCACCATTAATGAGAATTAGATTTAGGGAACCTGTGCAGATGCAGAATGTGAAAAGAACTGGAGGTAGCTCTGAGCATTACTTTATTTTCACTTCACAAAACACCCCCTGCAATACCAGTTAATTTCTTCCTATTTACATTATTATAATAATTTCCCCATCCTCACTCTGAGATAAGTAGCCACACATAGAACAACGGCTGCAATTGCAACGCCTTTTTAAGCTGGGATGTTACAGAAATTCCAGACCAGAACAAAGATTCCACCCTCCCCAAGGGTATTCTCAGAGACCCTCAGATACTACCCATTTCTCTATCTGTATTTTAAAATGACTAATTAAATAGAGGCTTTGCAACAAACGGAGTTTATACAGTTCAGACTTTATCAGACAGTTGTTACCAACCTGCTGTCAACCCAGTCTTACACTGACCCTTGGAGTCCTGGCTGTACTACACCCCTTTGCTTCTCACTCTCCCGCTGGGCTAGAAGTGGCTGATACTTAACATGCAACAAAAGCAAGTAAGAATTGAAACCTCTCCTCCCCTTCCCAGCTCTCTCAAACACCAACAAAATAGAATCAGCGACCTACCAATGAAAAAGCCCTGCTTAATTCTCCCCCACCCACTGTTGCACTCTTCTCAATGAGGATTTACACTTGATGGCTTAAACAAGTCTCATAAAAAATGGGTGGGATCATCCTGCAGTCTCTTGCTCCCCTTCCCCTCCTTTTCTTTTTTTTTTTTTAAATGTGAACAACCAACCTACCTTGTAGTACAAAATCCTAAATTTCTGCTCCTGTGTCCTTCACGATAAACAGTCTGAGTTACGAGCATCCTGGCCGTCTACAGACAGGCTCCCTGACGATACGCAAAGGAACTAATGGGCTAAGGAATACGTTACTGCTGTGTTTTGGGAAAAAAAGGAAAGCCAAGTACAGCACCATGCAAACGCGTGCAGTGGCTAGTACACTGGAGTTGCAAGGAAGGTCTTTTGTCCTTGTGTAAACCTCCAACGGTTCATTTAGCGAAGAGAATGGCTATGTTTAATGGTAAGGCCACTAACCTCCCTAACGGTGACTGAGCAGACACCATACAGGTGTCAGGGGAAGGAGGGAACGGGTGGGTGCATGGAAAAGACTCATTTAGTTTAGCAGCGCATACAGCGGTGATTATTTTTCATGACCTCAGTTTGCAAAGTCCATGTAATTCCTTGTAGGAAGTTTCTCCACAAAGCAAATCTTTCACTGTTCTTTGTTCTAAAAATAAAATCAGCACATGCCAGAGAGCCTGGCGTTTTGGACCCAAAACCCCCGGACAGGCGCAGGATGCAGAAAGGGGAT